CAATAACTACAGTAGGGCTCATTGGATCCCATGGTGGGAAGGGCCAACAGGCAGCACTTAATCAACAAAGATAAGATGGCTGTGGTTACCATAATGGACAGAAGCCAAAGCACTAATGAGACTAGTCTGACTCACATGGCTTTAGGGCATGGCTACTTAGATGGTGCCCTAGGAGTGAAATAGATGGGAAATCTAAATATTTCCTTGATCTGTACAGAAGACTTCTAGGTCAGATGAACAGCAGTCTAACTTGAGTTGCCAGAATACGGAGTCATAGCCTCTTAATCAATTTCTGGACTTGAGCCAGTTTACAGACCAACAACACTTCGAATTAAGGGGAGGCCAGATCCCCTTGAGGAAGGACCCCACTACACTGTCAAAAATATGTACTGTTAATTTTTCTCCCAGCCTTTCCCAAAGGGATCTGTGGCCTTTTACAACAATGCCTGCTCATCAGGAAAAGGGAAATAATCAGACTTTTCAGGGATTACTGGACTTAACTCTGAATTGACAGTAATCCCAGGAGACCCAAAACATCACAGTGGCCCACCAGTCAGAGTGGGGTGTATTGATGAATTCCTAGCTAAGGTCTATCTCATAGTTGGTCCAGTGGGTACCTGAACCCATTCTATAGTGATTTCCCCAGTTCCAGAATGCATATTGCCATAGATAATACTCAGCAACTGCCAGACCCTCACATTGGATCCCTGACACATGGTGTAAGGGCTATTATGGTAGGAAAGGCCAAGTGGAAGCAATTAGAACTGCCTCTATGTCTGACTCCATGGCACATAACAACGACTACCTAGGAAAATAGTGAACCAAAAGCAGTATCACGTTCCTGGATGGAGTACAGATATTAGTGCCTGTTCTGGTTACCTAGTGCTGCTCTGACAAGAATATACCACAAATGGGATGACTTGAACAAACAGGAGTTTATCCTCTTATGGTTTGGGAGGCTAGACATCCAAGTTCAAAGTGCCAGGCTCTAGGGGCTGGGTGAAAGCCCTTCAACCTTGGGTTTCAGCTTTGCCTCCTGCTCCCTGCCCACTGGAGCTAGAGGCTTTCTTCACTCAGACAGCTGCTGGCTGCTAATACTGACAAGTCCAAGGCTGA